TATATATATATATATATATATATACACACATACATACACACAAAGTCGTATATGCAGATAGTCATATGAATGTTAAGTTATATAGATGTATATTCAATGCAAGTATAAGAATATAATAACATATGCAAAGAAATATTTCTTAGTTATATTTCTTCTTTCATCCTCTCCGCTCGCCATGGTTTTGCTGCAGTTTGCCAGATTTCTGCACACTCTACAAGGTCGAAAACATGTTGATGATTGAGTTGATTATATTAATACATCTCCCTCCCACTGTGATGACCCCTAAACTCTGGTGGGCCGTTGCTGCAGCATATTTTATCAGAAACTAATTATTTTTAAATAAAATATATAGCTACAAAATGTCTGCCTCACTTTCGCCTAGAATCGTCATCTCCTGCTTGCACAATATTTGAAACTCTTTATATCCAACTTAAATGATGGCTACTCTATCCAACTTAAATGATATATACAACTAAGACAAAAAACCCCACTAAGCACGTATAAAACTTTACGGTAGAACAGCAGCATTTTTCAAATAAAACACATACATCTAAAACAACTCTTTAACTAAACCTTGTCTTTTAAAGTAATTATTCTATGAATGTGTATAATAAAATTTAATATTACGTATATCGTTGCATTTTTTACTCCTTCACTTCATACATAACGTAGGGATTGACTCCCTAAAGACACTGATTGTATAGTGTACATAGCATTGAATATCTACATGTTACAGTCATAAGTTCACATATTATTGTCTGGTAATTCCTGTTTCACGCTGTACTTAAGCTTCTTAAAGGAACCCCAGAAATTTGTAAGAAACTAATGTCAAGGGGTGTAATGATAACATTGTTTACACTAGAATTCTGATTTTCTTAGCTTAAGAAAATTATAGAAATAACTTCAAAAGTACCCTATGCACTAGGTAATGACCCGTTTAGTAATATTGCCTAGAGTTGATTGTAATACTCGTGCCTATTTATCTTGTAAACTGGTGGAACAACAACAACAACAATAATTATTATTATTATAATAAAGACAATAACAAATAGACAATCCTTATTATGAACCACTACTGTGGTTCATGGTATTGTTTACATGTTTCAATATGTACACTAATGGGTAATATATGTACATATATGGTGTGTATGTGTGTGCTGTTGTATATAGTTCAAAAGTACTTAACATATCTATTAGGCAACACCTTGGCCCAGACGTCGCCTCATATTTCGCATACTTGGACTGTGTATTCGAGGATCCATGGCTAGCGTACCTTTGATACAAAAACACGCCCCGAAAGTGAGCTATAAGAGAAACGGTCAAATTTCACCAGTGGGTCAGAAAGGAACAGTTCAAGAGTTGGCGGCTATTACTCTTTACTAGATACTTTTTCTCTAATCTGTCAGTCTTAAATTAGGGATGGATTTGCACAAATAGCCATTGTGTAACCTTGCACGAAAATTCTAAAGCAAGCAAGATAGCGAAATCTACTACACCTTCTCAGACCTAACAGCAAACAGCAAATTCAAGAAGAGATTTTTTAGGTTTTCTAGATTACAAAATAAAAGTGAAGTGTTAAAAGAATAGCATTTGTTTTCACTTTGCACATTTCAACAGTTATTTACTAGGATAGATATGAAGATTAATTTTTTCTTGTAAAAATACCCTACTTTATAATTGATAGCTTTGATGCAACGTGATAGTGTATATTAAAATACATTCTACCTAATGCTGCTGAAATGAGTGCTTTTTTCTGTATATTATTATTTAAAATATAAGGTATCATAATTTATGCTATGTATATTTTGTAATTCCAACAGTCTGCTAATAGGACTGAAGATTTGTTTGTTTTGAATTTCGT